CTTGCAGAGACTGACAAAAATGAGCTCCTAAAACTTACTGCCAGATTCTGGAAGATAAATTCTTCAAACAGTGGTACAAGAGGATGTGGTGCTGGTCCTTCAAAGTCACTCTCAACTTATCTGTCTATAAAGCATATATATTATATATATATATATATATATATATATATATTAGGGTTGCAAAAAGGCGGAAAATTTCCAGTAAATTGTAAAAATATTCCAGAAATTTTGGAAAATTTCCAGGATTTTTTGGAGTATATATATATATATATATATTCCAGTAGCTTTTGGGAAGAGGACATGTCCTCCAGTGTGACATGCTGTATCTTAAACCATTTTAAATATAAAAATCAAAATCTTGATGTTTATTAAAAGCCCTTTAAAGGACACCTATTATGCCCCTTTTTTCAAGATATAATATAAGTCTCAGGTGTCCCCAGAATATGTCTGTGAAGTTTAAGCTCAAAATACCCCACAGCTCATTTATTTATTATATAATTTTGAAAATGCCTATTTTGAACGTAAGCAAAATAGTCTGTTTTCGTGCATGTATCTTGAAATGCAAATTAGCTGCTGTTTCCTTCCCACTTTTCCAGAATAGGGCTGTGCACACATACACATTTAAATAGTGGCTTGGATGGATTTATTCAAACATAAATAAAACATTAAAGAACGGTAAAAAAATTTAATGAATGTTATATGGTACATATATTTAGCAAAATGCTCCTCTCTAGTTTATTTTTCTGGCTGACTATCGAGTTTATGGTCACCAAATATGCTTTCTGAGGTAAATGTGACGTTACGTGACATTGTTTACAAGACTTTATATTGACGTCTTTGCGTGGCTGAAACACTGATTGAGCGATTACATGAGACAGGATACGGATTGTAAAGTTGTACTCATATTGTACTCATATTGTTTCATATTTAAAGTACCAATGCACAATGCTTATTGCGATTTATTGGATGGGAGGTGCGCTTCAATGTTCCGTCCATTAACTGTAAACAGGCTAGACTAATCGATTCTTGGGATTTAAGAATCGATATTGTTTCGTAAAAATGAGAATCGATTAAAATCGAGATATCTATAT